CAACACACATTCCTCACTGCTGCCCTGTTAATCTTTGCCAGGACACTCCCCTACTCTAGAACATTCACTGGCTCCCCACTGTCTGCCAAATTAAGTCATAATTGCATTAACCTGACCATTCTCAGCTTCTGTGATTTGACCACAACCAAATTTTTCAGCCTTTTCATCTACTTTTCTCCATCCAAATATCCAGCCATAATGGATGTCTGGATATTGCCCAAACGTGCCTGGCACTTTTTCACTTTTATGTTGCTTTCTTTGTGGGGAATTCCTTTTTGTGCTTCTCAGTCTGTTGAAATCCTACCTACTCTTCAAGGTCCAGCACAAATGCATTCCTTATCAAGCTGCCCGGAATCTCACCAACCTGGGTGGGAGCTCCCTCCTCTTCTAAATCACACGGCTCTCTCTTCCTTTTTTAAAAAACAGTTTATTGAAGTATCATTTCAATACTTTAAAATTTAACCTTTGTAAGCATTGTTTGATGAGATTTAGCAAATTTATACAGTTGTGCAAATATCACCATGATTCAGTTTAGAACACCTCCTTCACCCCCCAAAGTTCCATTTCCAGTCACTTTCCATCCCATCCCTAACCACCCCCTGACCCCTGACCCCCAGCCCTAAGCAACCACTAATCTACTTTCTGTCTCTATAGATTTACCCTTTCTGGAAATTTCATGTAAGTCAAATCACACAATTTGAGGTCTTTTGTGTCTGGCTTCTTTTCTTAGCATAATGTTTTTGAGGTTCATCCATATTTTAGGATGTATCAGTACTTAATTCCTTTTTATTGCTGAATAGTATTACATTATATGAATATGCCACATTTTGCTTATCCGTTCTCTAGTTGATAGATAGTTGAATTGTTTCCAACTTTTGGCTATTATGAATAATGCTGCTATGAACATTCACACACAAAGTTTGTGTGAATGTATTTTAATTTCTCTTGGAGTGAAATTGCTGGAACATATGGGAAGTGTATGTTTAACTTTATAGGAAACTGCCAAACTGTTTTCCGTAGTGGCTGTACCATTTTACATTCCCACCAGCAATGTTATGAGGGTTCTGGTGTATCTATATCCTCACCAACACTTCACACTGTCAGTCTTTTGGATTGTAATGATTCTAGTGGATTTATAAAAGTTCTAGTGGTATCTCACTGTGGTTTTAATTTGCATTTCCCTCACGACTAACGGTGTTGAGCATCTTCCACGTGCTCTGCCTTTTTGAGTAATTTTTATCTGTGGGTTTGCCGTACACATCTTCTGTCTTGTAGCATGAGACTTTGAGGGTTAGATCCATCTGTAAAATACGGCAACAGTAAACCTTCTTCACAGAGTTGCTGTGAGAATTAAATGAAATAATGCATGAGAAGCATTTGCATATGTTTCTTGCCTATAATATTCATTTATTTATTAACACAGTATTTTATAAGAACTTCTTATATTCTCCACACAAAGACTCAAAATGACTTAGGCATGGTCTGTGCCCTCGAGAAAACCAAGGCCTCTTCCCTAGGCTGTCTCTCAAGTATCCCAAACCCAACTCATCACCAGCCTCCTGGAGCCCACCCCACAGTTTCCCTGTGCTCACTATCTGTGTCGATGGTCCCGATTGCCACTTCTAATATCCACTGAGTCCTGCTGTTTTCAGCACATGTGGCCTCAGTCCCTCCCCACCTGGCTCCCTCCTTTGCTCCCCGAACCCCTGCACACTCTCAGTTGTCAGGCTCGTTGTAAATAGTCTGTTGCAAGGTGATTTTCTGCTTTTGTGCTCTACCCCCCTACATTCTGTGAACCCCCTTGAGAGCAGGGACCATGTTTTACTCAGTCTCTTATCCTTAACACCCAGCAGGGTGCTTGGCATACTGTGGGTACTCAATAAATGTTTGTTGAGCAAATGAATGAGTGCAGTACTCCTTGAAAATGCTGTGCTGTGTCATACCTTCGTATTTTCGTATATGCTCTCCCCTCAGTTTAGACTGTGTTTTCTTCCTCAGCGAATGCTTTTTCTAACTGTCAGGAACCCTCATCTCTGGGAGTGTGGGAGCAGGGTAAAGATTGCCTGTCCAGACTTTGCTGCCCACCGGGCAGGTTCTGGGAACCTTGCACAGCTTCTGAGTTGCAAGCTGTGCCATTAGTCTCAATGGCTCTCGAGTTTGCTGGCATAATTACGACAATGAGAGTGTGGAGAGGCGGGGGTACTGGGGGCATGCAGCGACACACCTCAGGAGCAGGAATGGGGCCGACCAGAAGGAAGGAATAAACGGCCTCTTCCTAAGCTATAGCTCCATTTTCATAAAATGGGCCTTTCCAGCAATTCCTAGAATAGAATTATCTCCTCCAAATTAAAGAAAATGATGTTGGAAAGTAATTACTCAGAGGTCAGTAGTCCCTGTCTCAGTGCTGAAGGCCCCAATTTAATTTCAAATTGAAATTTGACAAGGAGGAGAGATCCCCATTCCAACCATCACTTTTAATTTTCCAGATATGATTTTTATTGGTTAGTTTCCATTGCCTGGAAACATTAAACAATCAATATTTACGGCAAACCTCAGACATGTCTGGTACTATTTCTGAAATCCTGAGAAGGCCTGGATCAGGTCAGGGGCTCTGGTTGCTCTTGTCATTATGTGGGATTAAATAGTTCTATTTTTTTTTCTTATTTGTAGGAGTAGGAACATTGTGATAAAAGAAGTTAGCTATTAAAATTACAGGAACCACGTGCCTAGGATGGATCGCTTCTTGCACATAGTGCATTTTAATTCTCATTTGCTGGAAATAAGCATTCCTGATTTTTTCTGTAGATTGCCTCCCTGAACAATGAAGTGTTGATCGTGACAAACGAGCAAAAGGAAATTTTACAAAAACCAAAGGCAGAAATCTTTTACATGACTGCTGCCCTCTCTTCCTCTCTTTGCACAGTCTGATCTGTCAGATACGTGTTTGTTTACTTAAGTTACCAAGGACTTTGACTTTGATGATGTGAAATGCAGCACAGGTTGGTAGAAAGGACATTTTGGAAAAGGGAGAACAGGAGAAAGTCTCCACACTCATTCTGCAGGGACTCAGGTCTGTGACTTTATGCCAATTTCACCTCTCCAGACCTTGGTTTCTTGTGTGCGATGAACTCTTTTTCATATATCTAAGTTTCCTGGTTTGACCAATGCCTTTCCTCTTTCCTTATCTCCCAAGCTCCTGAGTCAGGGACAGAAAATAGATTTTGCTCCATGTGCCAACTCTGGCTGCCTGTCGCACTGCATTGAGACAGATTCAGAGGCTACATCATGGCTCAGTGGGAAGAAGTGATGAATTGATTAGTAATGTCTGTCATAAGCATAGTATCGGAGAACAGTGATGTATGCAAGATACTTGCAAATCTTATGTATTGACTGAAATCATTGGTGTTTTTCTGGCCAGTCCAAAAGCTCTTGTCTAGCCAATATTCTCTTCCACATAGTCTTGGTTCCGTTAAGAAGGCTGTGGTGTAAGAGGAGAAGAGTAACGGAAAAAACCAATCAATCATCTGAGAGCTTACATTTTACCAGGGAACGGTTCCTACATACAACATGTCAAATTTGATCAAAGTTGCAAAGATGCACCATGATGTTGTGTCTGTAAGAAAGGGAACATGCTACCAATTAAACAGTGACGCCGTGGGTTATTATTGCATTGATTGTAATCTTCAGAGACGTTAAAATATAAAAAGGAAAGTTTGACTAACAATCCCTGCCGTGTGAGGAGCACATCTTTGAGTCCTCACAGGTAATTATCATCATCTCCCATTGTTCAGGAGGATAGATTGACTGAGCGTCAGAGGATGAAAGCATCATGGCCAAAGTCACACAGCTAGTAGCAAGGCGGGACATGAATGGGATTTCAGGCGACAGAGCGTGTACACTGTGCTGTCCCGTACATCTCAGAGCAGTGTGAGGAAAAATTTCCAGGTCTGTTTGTGCAGGTGAGGGGTGTCTCAGGGCACGCTCCTGGCCAGTGCACCCTGCTGCTGACTGCTCTGGAGATGGCTGCCCCCCGTCCAGCCTCCCCAGCACCGGAGACGGACAATCCCATAAGCACTGCCAGAAGCTCTCGGAAGGGGACCGATCTAGTAATTTTGTTGAAATTGGGATCTAGGTTTTATTTCGGATAGTTAAAATGAGCCTCTGGGTGATATATTTTGGGCCTAATTACCCTGGTTTTTGCAGAGGAGTCTGTGGAATGATTAAATAAAAGTAAATGCAGTTGGCATCATACCGGCTCCAGACGTTCAGAGCAGTTTGTCCAAAAAGGAAAAAAAAAGAGTGGAAATTATCCCATCCTCCACTGCTTCACCTCACAACAGCACTGAAGACTCCAGAAAACACCCGAGTCATCAGAGTCAGAGTTTTTAAGCTCTGATTTCACTTTCCAAAAGGCAAATGGCCCGTGTACGTGAGCACTTTCTGCCACACTGTGAGCCCACAGACTCATAGCAAAAGAGTTGGTGCCAATCCACTCAACTCCGTCCCATGGAGAGCAGGGTGAGGACAGTCTAGGACATGAGGAGGTGGCGTTCCCAGCTGGTAGTGGTTGCTTGACTCTTGAACTTCACTCAGAAACCCAACAACTTGTTAAAAACAATATTTATAATAAAGCTATGATTTATTGAGCAGATAATCTCTCCTGTGTCCCAGGCAGAAAGCTAAGCACCTTACGTGTTTTACCTCACTTAACCTGCATCAGGTACTCATAGTTATACATGAGATAACTGAGGCACAGAGAGGTTATGTAACCTGTCTATAATCACACAGCTTGTAGGGGCTGGCCTGGTGGCACAGTGGTTAAGTTCACACGTTCCTCTTTGGTGGCCTGGGATTCACCGGTTCAGATCCTGAGTGCAGACAAGGCACCACTTGGCAAGCCATGCTGTGGCAGGTGTCCCACATATAAAGTAGAGGAAGATGGGCATGGATGTTAGCTCGGGGCCAGTCTCCTCAGCAAAAAGAGGAGGATTGGTGGCAGATGTTAGCTCAGGGCTAATCTTCCTCAAAAAAAAAATATATATATATATATAATCACACAGCTTGTTAGTGGAAGAACAAGGATTTGAGCTCAGGCAGTCCTGTTTCTAGAGTCCCTGCTCTTAAATAGCATATTATGCACTCCTACACTATTAATATCTTAAGTTGTTCTTTAGGCATCAAATATTTTGCAAGTAATAACGGACACCTTAAACCCAGCTGCTACCCTGCCTAGACCATGGAATCTAGTGGGATGATCTATGTGGCAACTTTCAGAAACCTATAAAATGGCACAGAATGTTTGGTGGTTTTGTGATAACAAAGATATCTTTAGGATTAACTCTTCAATTCTGGTAATTGAACCATAAAACCCTATAAAACCAGAACAAGAAATTTTGCTTTACTTAAGTGTTGGCATTTATGAAACAGCAGGTGTAACAGAAGACAAAGCCAGAATGGAGACGTGGAGGTTCTAAAGGGATCCGGAGGGAGAGGGAGTCTCCTCCTTCCACATCCAGCTCCTCTCCAGGCTCTGTGCATTCTAGTTCCTAAAGGCCCTCAAATCCAGATGCCTCTCTCACCTCCGATGCCACTAGCCTGGCTCTGGCAGTGACCATCTCTCACTGCTGCCATTGCCACATCCTCTAATGAGATACACTGTCTCTTCTCTCCTCCCTTTTGAATTTTTCCTACTGTCATCAACATGGTCTTTTAAAGTAGGCTTCCCCTGGTGAGGAAGCATCAGTGGCTCTCCGGCGGCCGAGGATGCAGGTCCTGCTACCTGCCACAGCCCTCAGGGCGCCCAGTCTGGCCCAGCCTCTCTCTCCTACCTCCTACTCTTGTGCAAACTCAACAAACTGCTCTGTCAGTCCAAGAATGCTCCTTTTCTCCTTTGTGCCCTCCTGAATGCCAGTCCATCTGTCGAGAACACACTCCTCTTACCTTTCTTTTCAAGACCTTCTGCCTCACAAACTCCTCCTCCTCCTTCATGTCTTGGCCTGGGAGGCACATCTTGACCCACATTCCACTCAACCAAGTTCAGACCCCTCTGCTCTCTTCAGCCTGCACCTCCCTCACGGACTCATCATACTGTTGTAAGAGCGTCCTTCCCGGCAGTGCAGAACAATGTCTGTCTTCATCACTTCTGCATCTCCAGGAAACACGGGTTCCCGGCAGACGGGATGACCTCAGTGAATGTCTGCTGAGGAATGAAAGATTTCTGCTATCTATTTTATTTACATCCAAACCATCATTCTTTTCCTTAACATCTAAGTGTTACTTGCATTACCCTTATAAAGTGTTACTATTATGACTCTTATGTTGTGATTAGGCTTGGAGAGTAAGGAGGAGAGAGAATTGTTGTTGAACAACTGGACCAAATGGAAAGGGAACAGGGGAGTATTCATTCATTCTCTTCAGAGGATGCGTGTGTCAGTAATAATAACCGTGAACATTTCCGGAACACTTGTTGTATGACACACATGGTACTTTAAGTGCATTATCACATTTAATCTGCGAGGTTGGCAAAAATTATCATCCCCTCTCAAAGAGGAAGGAGCAATCAGAGGGTTTAATTCCCTTGTCCAGCATCCTATGCCTGGGAAGGAAAAAGCTAGTGTCCATACCCAGGTCTATAGGGTTCAAAGGCCACATTCTTAAGCATTTTGCTATACATGTCTAAGAAATTGTTTTCTTGAGATAAAATTAACTTAATTAAGAAGTTTCCTGAGAGAAAGAGTGTGTGTGTGTCTGTGTGTGTATGTGTGTGTTAGGAGGAGATCAGGGTGTGAATCAGATTACGAAAGAGGATAAACATTATATAAGAGACCTGAAATTCCAGTTGGTAACCAAAGATGGCATCATTAACTTGGGGGATCTTGCTCTTTGATATGGTAATGTGGATGGCGCATGTGTCCCGTGGGTGGGGAAGCTTTGCTTTAGTAGGGACTTTGGTAATTGCATATCAAGGAGTTGATGGCCTAAAATATATATGCAGAATATGGATTAGTGTCTCACCTCCCAAGGAACCCATAGCATACACGGGTAGAAGTCAGTTCTCAAGGTAGACTCCATGGGGCTGGGTCTCGTTCTCGCAGGATGTGAACAATTTGAGTAAGTGGAGAGGAAGTGTTAGGGCATTGTGCTTGCGAGCAGCATTTCTCGCCTTATCTCCATCTCCTGGTCTGTGAGAACTTCTCTCATTCCTCAAGATCGTCTTTCTTCGGTGACCTCATTGTTCTCTGTCCATTTTTCAATTACGGCATTGCCGTGTTGTAAGGGAATTTTCTCCTTGCCTATCCATGTTCCACAGTAGACTAAGATCCTTGAAGAAAGGGACTGTGTCCTATTATTGTTGAGGTTCTTGTCCGTAGGCCCAGGTCTCAGCGTGTAGCAGGAGCTTATCCAAGCTCTGCGTGTAAATGAATGGAAAGAACAAACTAGTTGAAAGTACAAATTAACGTCTAGCTTTAAAAGAATTGATATAAAAAAACAAGATGACAAAAGATTTGTTTCATGTTAGGTTTTCCCTTAGGATCTTTTTTATATAAAATCCCCAAATACTTTACTAGCCCTGTGTGGTAGAATTCCTTTAGACAAATTAAAGTTTGAGAGCTAGGGCATTAAAAGAGCTGGTTTTATTTTCCAAACCTTCCTTCTGTTCCATGATGAACCACAGAGATGGAAATTATGAGGAAATACGAGGTTCCTAAATTTGTTAAAATGGCTCCTGTATTCTCCCTGGTCTGCCAGCCCAGCAGACTTTTGCTCTGAGGAGAGAGTGCTTCCACATAATACATGCGCTGCAGCTGCTGCCATGATACTTTCGCACATGGCTCAGGAACCCATGCCTCGTGGTCCTGCAGGAGGTGAGCTTGGGCCCTGCAGAAGCTGAGGCCCATGCTGGGACCTCCACTGGCCACCCAGGGGCTCATGTTGTCAGCACCATGAGAGGGCAAGGCAGAGATCAAGTCTGGGAATTGTACTGCGAGTACTCGGAAGTGCATGACCAGTACGTCCTCATCCTAATGAAATTGCTTCCAAATATCTCAGTGCCTTTTGGCTTCTGTTAGTGGAGCTGGACAGATCTGATTTTGAACAAGTGATTTTAAGTGTGTTCTTAAAGGTAAGACTCCACGGTATCTCCTGTTCTATTTCCTGGCCCTTGGAGGATTTTAGAAACGTTAGGACTTTGGAATGTCTGCCATCGGGCCATTGACTGAGCACGCTCATGCCTAACATTGCTTTCTAAGGGCTGTGGAATTGGGGCGCAAAGTATGGAGTTTGAAAGGATTTTATTGGCTGGGAACTGGTCCTCCTTTTCTCAAGGAGTGAGGAGGCCTTATTTCATAACCAGACAGTCTCTTCACTTCACAGTTCTGCTCTTCAGTTTCCTTCTCTGTAAAATGGGGCTAATCATGGCTGTTACCTGTCGATCCCATGGTGAAAAAGGGAAGAAGGGCTTAACACACAGAAGGCCCTTGGTAAATAAGAGCCTTTATTGTTCTCCTTGAGTGCTGTGGCCTCCTACTTTGACACAAGTGTAATGGATCAGATTACAACTATTTTATGGCCCTGACTTGGGAGCTCTCCTGGATTTGTGAAGTAACATTAAACTGTCGCTGTGGCTGGGCTGTGAATAAAGTCCCCTTGAGGTGAATCGGCCACAAAGGCTTGAATCCCAGACCAGAGGAGAATTCCATCAGGGAGTGCCCTCCCCTGGGACTGTTGTTGAGGGCTGGAGCTGCCAGTGGAGAAACCCTGTTGGAACAGCTGCCAGTGAAACAGGCCGCAGGTCTCTGGTCCCTGTAGTCCCTGCCTAGGGCACTCGCTTTTTTAACTGACTCAAAGGAATCAATTCTGCCAAATGATCCTTTAAAATCAGCACCAATTTTTCTAGATTTATGCTACATTCATACAGTGATGCATATGTGCAGATATTAAATATTTATGATGTGTTTTAATAACATGAGAACGTTATATGACTTAAATATAAAGGCTTACAGGAATAGAACAAGAAAAACAACAAGAAAGTCATCAGGGACCCTAAAGGTCAGGGAAAGAAGAAATGTGGCCGTGGATCTCCCAAGGGCAGACCTGAGGACGCTGGTCTGCAGCTTAAATTATGCTGGTATCTTCTGCTTAAAGGACACGTGATTTGTACATTTCTGTAGTTTCACCTTTTCTGAAATGATTTTGCTTCCCTTTTATAATCAGGAAAAAAATGCCTCAAACACTGTTTCTTTAAAAATAGGAATTAATGAGGTGCTCAAACTTACTGAAGCCTTTTCATGTATATAATTTCTCTTTTCTTCTAACCAGCCTGTGAAGTCAGAAAGGCAAATGGTTTCATTTTAAAGACAGAGGTGGGGGACGGAGGTGAAGGTGCTTGTTCAAAATTGTGCAGAAAATCAGGGGCAGAAGTCAGGACTCCTGGCCTCGTCCTGATCTGTCTCTCTCCTCCCTGGACTGTTTTGCCTCTTAATGTTTTCATCTCCATATTTTCTTCCAACTCATTCAACAAACATCTATGAAGCATTTACAACATCTCAGGCAATGTGATAACCACTCGGAGGGGCCCAGAGCTGCAAACGGCAATCCCATCCCCCAGGACTGTGCTCCCTGGTGGAGAAGAGAGGGAGAAACTGACAAAAGAAGTGCCAAGATAATATAAGCAGCAGCCTGTACAAAGCCCTGTGAATCCTCAGAGGACAGAGTGACTGATCCCATGGCAGGGGCAGGGGATGATCAGAAAAAGTGACAGAGAAGAGGTGACATTTAAATTGCAACTTGCTGTGTGGCTTAGGAGTTAAGAGCCAAGCTCCTAAGTTCGGCAGACCTTGAAAGAACTCTAGCCTTCAACCACTTCATACTTGTGGACTTTGACAAATTGCTCATCTCCCTCCAAGCCTCGATTATTCTTCTGGAAAATGGAGGTAATCATAAGCTACCTTGTAGTAACTTTTGGAGGAATAAATAAGATAATGAAAGCAAAGCGTTTAATAATACCCCATTGTAACTTCAGGAAACTAGAGCCTTTATTATCATGATTAGTAATAGTATGGCTGCTATTCATTTATTCCCCAAAAATGAAAATTATTTCCCAAGGTAGGTAGGTAATGGAACAGTGTCCCAGGTAGATGGAACAGCATATGCTAAGTCTCTGATGTGTATTAGTCCCTGACTTTTTGGAAAGTGGTAAGGAGATGGGTATAGGGGAAAGCGGGGTAGTAGGAAGTTAGGCTATACATATTAGGTTGCAGTCAGATTGTAAGGACCCTTGTTTGCCATGGGAGAAGTTTTATGCTCTAGGATGGTGGGGGTGGAGGGGAGTGAGATTAGAGATATAAAAGCCAGAGAATGACACGGCCAGGTGTGTCTTAGAGAGATCCCCAGGCGGCTGGGAGGAGGCTGGATCTGAGGGAGCTGGAAAACGGTAAGGGAAAGCAGACGTTGAAGGCCAGTGCAGTGGTCCACGTGGCACAGACAAGGGCTCCTGATGTGGAAGTCTTTCGCTTCAATCCAACAAAGACTTCCTGGACTTAAGACTTTACAAGGTGAGGAAAGCGATTCCTACTCTCAGGACATTGAATGTATAGTGGGGAAAGGGGAAGAAAACTAGAAACAGCTATAACTGGGGACAAATAATCATCACAAGAGAGTAACAAGGACAGCATTAAGAGGGTCAAGAGGAGAGGGTGTGATGTCCAGGTGGGCGAATCGAGAAAGGGCATGTGTTCCTCCTGCCTGTGGGGTGGGTTCAGTGTGCTGGCTGGAAGAGCCCTCTGAGCCACTCTTGCCTTCAACAATTACGTGACTCAGCGCATTTGGCTCAGGAGAAAGCAGACTTTTTTGTCAGCATAACCAAGGGTGTCACAACACTGCGTGTGCTACCTGGAAACCAAGCCCAAGCACCGAGGAGAGGTCGCCGTGTTTAGCTGATGATTGAAAATACATATATATTGAGGTTCTGCCAGGAGAAAAAAAATTCAGGTTTCATCTGAGTGAAATTTAATATAATACAGTTATGGATTCTGAGAATTTGTGAAAGCCATTCATGAATATAGAGCTTTTATTTGCTTTGTTGCAAATAATTCTTTGGCGTGATGCTTATTGTCTTTTCATTTTCATTGTGGTATCCAAGGCAAAATGCTCTGCCTAAAATGCTTCTTTAGTTAGACAGACCCTGTCTCCTTTAAATTGCATTTTGTCTGAAATGGACTAGGTCACATGTAATAAATTCTGGCATTTTAATGGAAACATTACAATGAAAATAGTTAACAATCTGCTTTAATTTCAAAACTAATTTTCTCTTTCATATGGTAAGGCAGTATCTTGGTAAAATGTGCAAAATGCATTGGGATTTAATTATGGTGGCAATTTGTTCTGAAACAAGGTTAAGCTGGGCTGTCGCTATTCAGGATAAAGGTGTTGCGGGGGTGGTGGTAGGGCAGGATGGTAGTGGCTTGATGTCCCTGGGTTCTGAATGCCGTGTGGACCACAGTGGAATTAGAAGCCCTGGGCACATTAGCTGCTGAAGGCTCTAATTAGTGGAAGGCTGGATGCTCCTGGGTGCACAGACAGAGCCTGTACCCACCCATGTATCAGCCCCATGTGAGGACTGACAAAGAAAAAACTGGAAATCATTTCTTCGTGTCTCTCCACTAACATTTCATTCATTAACTTAGTCTTACAACAAATATTTGAATCCCATTGAGCTAAGTGCTGGAGATACAAAGGTGAGCAAAAATAAGCAGGGTTCCTACCTTAGGGAGATTATAGGCTAACAAAAGAGAAATACATTCATCAAAGAATGACACAAATATATGTACAAGGACAACTGTGCCAAGACCTTTGATGGAGGAGTCCCTGGTGTCAGTTGAGTGTGTTAAGAGGGGTATTTGGTGTGGTCTAGGGCAGTGGTGGTGGTAGTCATGGAAGGTCTTACCTGGGGAGTCCCAGCAGAGCTGGAAACTTGGGCAGAGAGGATGGCGTGGTGGGGATTACTCCAGGCAAAAGGAAAAGTGTATACAGAGCCTTTAGGGAGGGTTGCGGTGATGGGTCTGAGGAACTCAGGGTGGCTCAGTGTGACTGGAGAGCAACAGCGCCCGGGCCTGTGACGAGAGCTTCCACAGGAGAGGCCTGCAGGGCCTTCTGGGCCTTAGCGACAGACCTGGTCTTACTTCCTAAGTTTATTGGGAAGCCCTTGAATAGTTTTCAGTCAGAGTGTGACATGATTCAGAGCTAAATTTTGCAATGATTGCTTCACTGCTGCTTGGAGAATGTGCTGGAAGGGAAAGAGAGTGCATGTGAGGAGACCAGACAGGACGCCTCTGTGGGGGCCGGCTGAGGGAGAAGGGGGTTTGGAACAGCATGCCAGTAGGGGAGAGGCACGCCTACCTTGGAACCTGACTTAGTTGGGCGATGAGGAAACCAAGCTCTCGGTTTGCTCTCCATGGACTCAGGGTCCTGTAGGAGGCAGAAGGAAATCATAGATTTGGGAAACCACAGGAGTGGGGTGGTAGACATGATCAACAGGTGTTCAGGCTGTTAATTGGTTGAAAGAAGATGGGGAGGAAGTTTAGATGAAAGTTCCCAAAGAGGGGGTTATGACCATTAAGCCGGTCAGACATGGTTTGAGCCAAACTTTAACAGCGTTGGGTATGGATTTGTCCCTCAGCTCTTTTTATTGTGAGCCACGCTTGATTGGCATTATAATCATTAAACATCTATGTTTCTTGGAACTTAAAAAAAGAAATATGTTTTTAGCAAACAGCAAGTTGCCTCAAGCAGCTTAAAATGAGAGACTTTTCAAGCAATGGCTATATTAAGGCCTCTGCTCAGCTAATGAAGAAACTACCTGGAGCTCAGAATGGGTCTCAAGTCTAGTGTCAGTGGTTCCCGGAACTGCCCTGAGCCGTGATGTCCAGTAGGCCCTCACTCATTCCACCCCCGACTACATTGCTCCCGACGCTCACTAACCCGCGTGATTGCTGCAAACCCTGGGATCAAGCCTTCCTTAATTGCCATATGCTTAAAATAGCAGGGACCGGCTTCTTGCAGAGTCTTTCACTTCTCGGATATTTGATTCCATGCGTCAAGAACCCTTCATTCCCCAGAGTGCTATGCTGTGCTTTCTATGCCTGTGAATTCTCCCAGGTCACTGAGGACTTTGTTACTTAAGGTTCATTGTCATGGTTTCCAGTCTTAATAAGGCCAGGAGGAGTGCATTGCTTATCAACACTGCTTTTTCCCCTGAGAAAATTTTAAGCCTGTTTCTGAAAACCCACTGCAGCCCCATGAAGGCGTCTTCTGACCTCTCTCCCAATTAACTTCAATCAACAAATGAATGAACATGCATTTATTGAGCACCTGTTGCGTACCCTATATTGTACTCATGACTTTCTCCCACTTAATTACCAGGACTCCCTTGTGAGGCAAGGTTTATATGAAAAGGAATCAGAGGCGCTCAGAGGTTAACTTTCCCGAGGTCACCCAGCAAAAAAAAGGTAGCGGAATAATATCAAACTCAAGACTTCTGATTCTTTGTCCAGCTGTTTTTCCCCTCTAAATTGGTAAACAAGCTGGTTTTAGAGGGCTCATGGACAGTGTAGGAAAGAAATTTGAAACACACGATGGGAAAGTTGTTTTCTTTTCAGTTCTCTCTCAAACATCTCAGTTAGTCAAGTAGAAAATGTGTTTGGTGTCCAAGGGGCTTTAGCATGTGTTGAATATTTGCTAATTTCCCTTTTTAACAAAGAGAGCTGGACTCAGACTTAGCGCCTTCAACACTCCGCAGTCTCTAGCAAGAATTTAATAAAATTATTTTGATTTCATCTTCCATTTTTGGAACCTCATATTGGTTTTCCTCATGGTGGTGATATAAAGTTGCCTTTTAAGGAAGAAAATTATGGGAAAAATAATTAAAGAAAAATATTGAAAAATTATAGTTCAGGCGTAAGGGCAGAATAATGCTGTAGATAATAACTGTGCATCCACCTGCATGAGGCTGCGAGCTGCTCCCCTGATTCACACAGCCTCCCCTGCTCCCAGGACACGTGGGCCTTCGTGGGATCATTGTGGCGCTGAGTTCTGAATCTGTTCTTTGCTTATTTATTTCCTTGGGAAACATATAGAGGCCATTATAATGACAACTGTTGCTGTCATTAGGACCACGGAGGATCATTCTTAAGTTTAAATTTTACAACCCAAATCCACCCAAGCTAGTAATAGAGTCTTAAAACCTAGGAAAAATATTTAAGTTTATTGCAAAAGATAATATCCCATTTAAAACATTTTAGAAATTTACAAAACCTTACATCAGTACATAGTTTTTAAGAAGGTGCTCCACAGATGAGCTGGTATTCAGTTGCAAGTATAGTGAGTATGCATTTTTTTTTTAACTACAGAGAAAGCAGCTACATAAACTCCTGCAACTTAAGTTGATGTATTAGTCTTTTTCCTTTCAATTTTATAAAAGTAATTTTTGCTAAATTAATATCTCTCCATAAAACCGTATAACCTCAAGTACAGCATTTCTGTATACTATCACGGTAGATGTTACATAATATTTTACAAAGAAGCGATTTGCACACGAGTAGATGAGTATAGAGTTTTGGTATATGTATATATGTTTGCTTGTTTGTTTTCAAACATAGAGATGGTTGTTTTTGTTTAGCAGGAAGGTGTTTACTGAATTCATTTCCCTCCTAACGATTTTAAAGGTTCTGTTTTCAGAAGAGACCTCCTTCCCAGGTTCAGGTCCGTGGCCTGAGCAATGCTGTGTTGTGCTTTGGTATAGAATCATTATAGCCTAGTTTGGCTTTATTTCTAGAAATGTCAACAATTTCCAATCCCGATTTTATTTAATTCAGTATCAATATAAATCTATGGCAACATAGATGTCTTAATTATCCAGGGGCTGGATTATCCTGTTTGTGTGAGTTACCCCAGACACCTCTTCATCATTCCAGGCTAACTTTGGCAAATGACCCAGCTCGGCTCTGGGTCATTCTGCTCATTTGATGTTGGAACATGCACAGAACTTATAAAGTAGGTAGAGTAGGTGTTTATATCTCCTTTCAAGAATGGACGAAACAGGCCCTGAAAATTTAAGTAATTTGCTCAAGGTTAGTGAAATAGATTGTTCTGTTGCCTGGGTCTCTTAATTCCAGGAACAGGATTGTTTTGATTGTAGTGTGCTGCCCGAGAATACAAATTAATTTGAAAATTAGCGTAAGCAAAGCAAATTAAGATGGAAGCTTTACTACAAGATAAAATTGTATGAGAGATCCCAAATGATTTTGCTGTATTGGATTATGCTCTGTGCTCTTCTTTTCCATTGTTGGGGCCAGCTGAGAGCTGATTGTATGGGTACAGAAAGATCTGTGGCTGTTAGCCAGTAGTAGCATATCTTATTAAAATGTGGCTTCTTAAGTATGACAAGTGTATTTATCTTAATTCTAACTTAACATTATGGATTCCGGTCCCATTTTGTGGGTTTAAACATTACACTAGAAACGGAACAAGAACATCTTGAATGACATTCCAAGACTTAAATAGTGCAAGCCGAGATTCCTTGCCAAATGTCCCTCTCCCTCTCGCTGAAATAGCTTTGCGCACTGCAGCGCTGTGACAGGGGAGGGTGCAACTGCTGGAGTGGTTTGCTCAATTAGTCTCAATTTGCAGTGGGGTACGTACATCCCACGTTCACCTAGGATGCTGCGCTCTGCAAAGACGCTAACTCAGACACCCGATCTTCAGCAAAGGGGATTATGAAATGCCTTCTTCCCTGAATGCATGTTGAGCCGGGGGATCCCTTTTCTAAGCAGCATCACTCCAAGCACAGGCTGGTAGAGAACTTAACGAGAAGGAATATGAGCCTTACCAACCAACCTCTCATCCCCAAGAGTATGTAGCAATTACTTAATTATATTACTTTGGTAGTTTGCTCAGCCGTGCAAGTTTGACTGGACCCACATGTATGGAAGTCTTGTCAAAAGAGTGAGCCAGACTTTAAAGGAATTGAGACTTTGGGAAGGAGAGGTCTTTAATACTAAAATGGAAAGAAATATATCCTCATCTCTCGTCCTCCTTCTCCAGTCAGGTGACCATTGCCCGGTCACCAGGAAGGGCGATTGTGTAGACTCATATACTTTTGAACCAATCTACAAGACTGTTGCAAGGATGAATGGACAAGAACCAGTGTTGTGTTTTATCTTAGTCTTATTTATGTTACTGGTGAGATGAAACAGACAGACAGGATCCTGGATCTCATGATCTTAAATGTTGCAGTGAAATTAACTGTGGAATCTTAAAGCTCAAACTCAAACCAGATCTCACCCATTTGTCAGGCGGTCCCAGGCCCAGGCTGAGAAGCGTGATGGTTTAAGTGGGCCCTGGAGCAGCTACAACTGCAGGGTAGTCACACCAACAAGTTCCTTGTACCCTGCGGTGACATCACTCTGCCATGGACTGCAAGGCCCACACAACATGCAATGACAAATCCTTGATTTTGGACCAAGGGGCTAGTTAAACATGAAAATGACCCAACCCACCAGGTGATCTTGCATGTTTATGCCCTGTCCACTTCTCTTGTGCTTGTGTATGCCAATATCTTAGAAAACTGCCAGTTTATGTATCTAATTTTTTCTGTAGTTTCTGCTTATAACCCTACTCTAGCTTTCTGCTCTGCACAACATTTTTCTTCTTTCTTTTGGGATGATGAACTCAGGATGGAAAGGAAGCACTTAGCATCACAGAGGTATTGGAAAGTGCGAAGGAGGCTTTGCTCATGGTAGGAATCCAGACTCGCAAACCAGGATGTGGCCTGGTTGAGTGTGACAAGGAACTAGGCAAGTGGTCACTCTAGGGTCTGTGAAGTCCTCAGCAAGCAATGGTGCTCACTCAGGTGAGGTTGGTGGTCAGGTGTCCTGCAGTGGCTTTCCCATTTCTCAGGTCGCAGGTCAAGAGGCCCACAGCCTGGGGCCTTTGCTAAGAAGCAGAGAAGGCCTGAGGGCAGTGGTTTCCCCACCTCAGGGAGGTATGTGGGGAGGGCAGAGGGAAGGGTCTCAGCCAGCTCAGATCCACCAGAAGCATTTCTTCTTCACCTTCTTGGTTTTCCGCCTTAAGTCCTGTTTCTCAGGAACCGGGGGTTCTGCTGGGGACTTTGGTGGGGGAGATGCCTCCTCAACTGGTTCCGCTTCCTCCATACTCTGTAGAACTTCATGGAACCTGCCTTCCTGCTGCCGAAAATCATACTCTACACTGAAAAACACAGAAAGGAAAAAAGGAAAGTAAATTCAAATCAGCAAATACTGATTTAGCATCACCAAGTGTCCAACTGACATGGAAGAGCACGGGCTTTGAGATCAAGTCCCAGGTGTTTAGGTACCTACTGGCTGTGTGACCTTGGGAAAATTGTGCCACCTCTCTGAACCTCCAGTTCCTCCATTGATTGAATTGGCATCTGTAATGCTTTCCTCTGGGGGATGTTCTTAAGTTTAAATGAGGCATATAACGTGGCAGCCTGATGGTAGGTGTTAGTAAATATTGCTCCAATCTCTCTCTCACATTTGTTTCATGCTTCTAATTGTTAATTCTTTTTACACGTTATGCATGAAAACTGCCTCATTATGCAAGATTTAAATAATACGGTGGAATATACAGTAAAAACTGACAACTCAGTTTCCTCATCTATAAAATGGACATAATAGCACTATCTCAAAGGCTTTCTTTGGAATTAATATGCATATTAAGGAAGTGAAGAATATAAGTGAAGTATTTAGTGCCTGGCATGTGGTAAGCCCTCCATGTATGTTAGCTTCTATTACTGTTATTATCGTCATCATCAACTTTACTACCACTACTATGTTATGTCTTGCTCTTTGCCTTGCTTCTCAGCTCAACAGTGTATCTTGGAGAGCTCTACACATACGCTTTCCTCATAAAACATTTCATCAATGCAGACATGTTTAAACATTCTCCTTTGATGGGCATTTCCTAATCTCCACTTTTTTGTTTTTTTGCTATTTTGTTTGTGTGTTTTGGAGTCGTTAATGTACAGGCTCCATTGTATTGTCTATACACAAGTCTGTGTGGAACATGATGCCATCAGGGACCAGGGTTCCCAGAGATTGAGAGAGTCGGAGAGTAGGGAGTGCAGAAGCTCTGGCCTGTGCACAGGGGGTGCTCACGCTCCCCCAGATCTCTGAGGGTTTGGGAATTAGGCCAGCAGGTGTCAGGGACTGTGAGCCTGCTTTAGAGCCAGGCCAGAAAGAACGAATCCTGCAGACATCCCTGCAGGCTGTGCCTGGGCTCCCTCTGCCATTAATTGTCTATTTCCTCCCTAGGAGATTTACTTCTGGAGGAGTTTCCAGGGCCTGGACTTGTAAAAGGCTCTTAAGCTTTTAACTGTGTTTGTTACCTGGTTGCATATTAGAACTCTCAGAGGCCCAACCATGAGGAGCCAGTGTGGGAGCGTGGAAAGTGGAGGAAATGCAGAGTCACGAAAACAGTGCATTCTCCTTGCTTAGTGAGGAGGAAAATGGAATGTTTCATGAGGAAGACGAAAAGACCCTGCGTTGGTTTGTGATGTAGCATGACTGGCCAAAGCCTTTTTACCCAGCAAGGGCTGAAAAGGAGCTGTCATTAAAGGGGCGCTTGTCCTTGTCTGCTATCCCCACGTCACCTCCCAGACACCCAGGAGTAAACGCTGCTGAAAAGGCAAATCGTGATTGCTATGCATGGCTAACGAAGCCCCAGACGGTGCCTTGTCACTGGGCATTCTGAGATGGGATAAGCTGAAGAGTCAAAAGAGCCAGGAGGCCTGTTTTGTAGCCAGACCGATGGGGTATCAGTGCTTAGGGAGCATCGGGGAGGGGTGTCTGATTACTTTGTTTCTGTATTTTTGTGTGTGTGTGTGTGAGGAAGATTGTCACTGAGCTAACATCTGTGCCAATCTTCCTCTATTTTTTGTATGTGGGATGCCACCACAGCATGGCTTGATGAGTGGTGTGGGTCTGGACTCGGGGATCCAAACCTGCAAACCCCTGGCAACCAAAGTAGATGTGTATACTTAACCACTACGCCGCTGGGCCAGCCCCTGTTTCTGTGTTTTTGATAAGCTTCACCCACATTTTCTTCTCTGTGGCTTATATCCTTTCACTTTCTGTTCCTCCCTGGTCCCCTATATAGGGACATACTTTTGGCTGGGTGACCTATATAATGGATGAAACACAGGCTGTGTTTTTCAAAGTAAAGCTCCACAACTGATTAGCTGTGAGATCTTGGGGAAGTCATTTCTCATTTTCAAGCCACAGTGTCCTCATCTGCAAAATGAGAATGGTACCCATTCATAGGATCTCAGTGAAGTTTAAACAACATAATGCATGTACAGCACTCAGCTCAGAGCTAGGCACCAAGTGTTCAACCAGTCATTCAACCAACATTTATTGAATACCTCCCATGTGCCAGGCTCTATGCTAGGTGCTGGAGGAGGAGTGGTAGAGACGAACAGACAGCCAGACATTACCCCTGGCCTCCTGGCACTGCTAGTCCAGTGGATCTTTGTCCTCAGTAAATGCTAGTCAACATCAAGACCTATTAGAGACTTTCTAGCTAAAGCCTGGGATTTGCCAAGTTGATGAGCTGAGGCTCCCACTTCCAGGATGTGCTACCCGACGCTGCATCCCTTTTTTTTTCACCTTTTTCTTTTTTTTTGAGGAAGATTAGCCCTGAGCTAACATCTCCTGCCAATCCTCCTCTTTTTGCTGAGGAAGACTGGCCCTGAGCTAACAATTGTGCCCATGTTCCTCTATTTTACGTGGGACTCCCGCCACAGCATGGCTTGAAAAGTGGTGTGTAGGCATCCGAGCTGGCAAACCCTGGGCCACCGAAGCGGAACGTGCGAACTTAACTGCTGCACCACTGGGCCGGCCCCTGCACCCCTTTTTTTCTCTGGGTCTGAGGTGTGTTTCTTTTTGCACCTCACTTTCTCCAGTAGAAACTTAAGCAGATAGACTCAGAAGCTGCCGAAAAGTTGTCTCTGAAAAACCTTTGCATTGCTTCAAGGAAGGAATTTAAAGCAGTGAGTTGCAAACTCTTATTCTTACCCCCTCTAGCACTAGTTCACAGATAGGGAACATCTACGTTCAGTTCTCCTGGCTCCTGAAATAGCCCTGCCTCCACCCCCACTCCCCCACCCCCAAGGCAGAAAAAGAACCTTCATCCTAGAGCTCCAGATGGAGCCAAAGAGGGGGTACATCCTGCTCATTCTAGGAATTTCCTACACTGTCAGATAGAGGACATTTCATCCATTCATCCAGCCAGCCAGCCAGCCATCCAACCATCCATCCACCCAGCCAGCCAGCCAGCCAGCCAGCCATATAACCACCCATCCATCCATCCTGCACTGGGCCTGACACTGTGCTCATTTGCAGTGACACAATAGTAAGGTAGACAGACATGGATGCTACTCTTGTGGCTCTTACTTCCCAGTGTGTGAGAGACAGATGATTAAACTAAAATTGCTTTAAAAATATCCTTTGTACTTATCTCAACTACTCTTGGTTTCCAGCCCTGCATCCAAACACCTGCACCAAATTATCTGAGCACACATGTGAACCAGCCTCCTTCTCCTTCTCTGTGACATTTCTCTGACTTCATAATTCAAACATATTGATATGACAACAACAACAACAAACCAACTGAGTTCGTGAAGACTCACAACAGTGTCCTAATGCCAATTAGAAAAAATAATGCTCTGAGTGATTCCAGAATGTGTACAGGACTGGCAGGGCTGGGGAGAGAAGAGCCAGGAGACAGAATGTAAACTCTGTCTCATCGTCACAATTTAAAGTGCAGCCCAATATAGAGAATACATAGAGCAAGGTCTCTCAAGTGCAACTCTCCTGGGTTTGAACTGAGGCTGCACCGCTTACTGGTCGGGTGACCTTGGGAAAGTTGCTTCTCTTTCTGAGACTCAGTTGAAAACAGGGGTTATGAAGCTGCCTCACTGGGTAGTTGTGCAGGACACAATAGCAGGTGAAATGTCCTCAGGTAGGATATGCTCTCTGCCCACTCCACTCTTCACTGTCTTTCGCCTTCCTAGCTTAGGGACTGAATGCCTCACCTCCTCACTCATACCTTCAGCTCTTCAGTAATTGTACACCTTGCCAGCAACATCACTGTTCACTCCTCCCCTCCACGCACATTCAGGGAAGAATACACTCTTTATGTTTCTATGGAAACTCCACAGGGTTCCATTATAATCATTGGGAGTGAGGGAGCTCCTCACCCCACTCTTGCAACTGCCCCCACTGATCTTGACAATTAAAAGGGGATTGAAAGTGACTTTCTTTTGAAGGCCAGGCAAATAGCAGAGTATAGAGAAGCATGTGTACTTTGGAAAGAAATTGATTAATGTTTTTTAGCCCAAAGCAATTTATTAACATAAAGGAAAATTGTCACTTTTCTTCTTATTCATCCATTTGACAAACTACTGTTTAGTTTGGAGGGGAGAACAGAGAGTATATTTTGTTTTGGCAGGAGCTGCCTTATAAATGGGCAGGGGCCAGTGCCCTCGCTCATCTGTGCTTCATCTCATGGCTGGGTAGAGAAGAGGAACTAATCCTCAACTTCCTGCTTAGCCAACCCACACTATATTCAGCCACCTCTTGAAAAGGGGCCTATGTTGTCTATTCAGTGAGACTTTAAGTCCATTCTTAGCAGAGGGTTGTTTGTAGGTTCTGGGGAATGACTCTCTGCCTTGGGTTTGGTATCCAGGTAGAATACCGGTAACTTTTCCAACCTCACCTCTCCTTCTCTCCTTCCTCTTAATCTCTTGACTCTTCATAATCAGGATTGCTGAGTGCTTAGTTTATGCCGAGCTCTGGCTCACAGTGAGGGGCAAATGGTGGTCAAGGAATTGTTGCAACACGGGATTCAGGTCTAGAGCCATTGAGATAGTCCAGAGTATTCAAGGGCTGTGAGGTTGGTCCCCTGAGGATGAATGGACTACCTGACACGTAGTTCAGGGGTGCCCAGCTCACTATCTGGGGAGCCTTAGAGCCCTTCACATCCAAGATGTCTGAACATGGTGCCACTTTGCATTTAGAAAGTGAGTGTGTGTAAACCAGGAATGGAAGAGAGCTTTCAGGTTTCCCTCGTGAGGACACCTCACTAATCTAGCTGGCAGATCAATGCTCCAGCCATCGTGCTAGGTGAAAAGCAGAAGGATGTTTTTCTAGGTAATTGGAAACGGTAAGAAGCCTAAGTTGTGGGTTGTCGAGAAGAAGAAACAGTGAGAAGCAAAAAGTAGATAAATACATAAGCAAATAACAGAGCAGGTTCTGGATGCAGTATCTTGGCTGGGCAAACTGAAGCTGGGTAAGCCAAAAGGAGAAAAAAGTTTCTATAGAAACAAACAAACAATAGAACCCTCTTACTTTTATATAGCACTTTCAAATTTGCAAACTCTTCAGACCTGTGTTTTCATTTTATCCTCGTGATGGCCCAGGAAGATGGGAAAGTTGTTATCCCCATTGAACAGACAAGCAAGTTGGCAAAAGGAAGTCATACCATGAGTCATGATCAGAATCCAAACCTGGTTTCCTAACTCCTGGTCCTTTGTTTTTCCTAATGAGAGATTAAATGTTTTAGCCCAGGGCCTGGCTGGTACCAGGGTCTTACTCTAAGAAGAAGAAAGAAAGAACCGGAGAGTACCTGGACCATGTTAAGTTAGGGCACATAGTAATTTAAATGAGTAATAATAATCATCATTAGAATATGAAGACAAAGGAGGAAGCGGACTATCATTTATGGAGTGAAATCTCTACTATAGATACTACACTACCAGTTTATGAGTTTTCACGCATCTCCTGTAATTCTCACAGCCCCAAGAGATAGAAAGTATTATCTTCATTTCACAAATGAGGAAACTGGGCCAAAGAGAGGGTAAATATTCTGCCAAGAGCACATTCTAGTAAGTGACAGAGCCAGGCTTTGAGCCTAGATTGTCTGACTCCACAGCCTCGACACTAAGCTATACTGCACAGGAAGAACACAGTAGTCTTTATCTGTGTGAGATCCTAATTGCAAAATATGTGTGGAGTGGGGTTTTTGAGGTGGTGGTGACCAAGGCCTGGTGTGCCTAAATGACCTCGCAGCCCCCTGTGGAGCCAGACCCAACCTGGAGTCAGGCTGCATGGAGGACCCTTTATGACCCAGCTGACTAGCCCACCCTGCAATAGTGTGTCTAGATTGCAGGGCAGTTCTGACAGGGAGGCTGGATGCCCAGAGAAGATGGGCACCCCCTTAGGAGGCAGCTTATTCAAGGTAATATCTGGGCTCAGCGATCTGGGGTCTGGTGTAGGCTGCTGTGGTCTGCTGTGGGCCCTCTGCACTTGCTTCTTAGCAGGTGGGTCTTGCTCTTTTATAAAGAGACATAGTGGTGAGCCACTGCCATAAACCATACACTCCAAGAAAGTTGGCTGAGAAATTCATGATGCAGGGCTTCTCCATGAAGATGAAATATCTTCCGAATCACTCTCCATCTCTTCTCCATCTCTGTTGGAGCATTTCTGTGGCCCCTCTCCCCATAGAACCCAAGGACTCCACAGATTTATTGACCTCCTACAACTTTCTTCTCTAAAGAATTAGCTGTAAGGATCAATAGAATCAGCAAGGGTAGTTTGATTCCTTGTCCACTCGGATAAATCATGCCACCTTGGATAGTATCTTTGGGGAAGAATTACAGTCTAGGAAAGCAGAAGCTTTAGTTAGTTTGTTTTTTCTTCCCCAAGCCTGGAAGGGATGTTTTTCCTGAAATTGTCTCCTAATGACCAGTTTGTCCATTATTTATAGGGTATAATTTTAAGCTTCACAACTTGCAGCCATTTCAAGTTGGCAAGTGTACCCCTCCTCCTAGAGCATCTGTCTGCTGACAAGTCCTCAGAGAATCGGAGGTTCTCTTCTTGGCACATAAATAAGCAGGCCAAGCTGCAGAAATCTTCATTGCTGATCACTATCTGAGAAAGAAATCTGTGCTCTCTGTTCTCTGGCTCTGTATTGAGAAGGTCTTCATGTCAAGCCCTCAGAAAGTGTAGCTCATCTAAGAGAACTTTAACACATACTTTCACTCATTATGCAAGGTCGAAAGGTAAGAGGGCAAGGGACAGGAAAATCTCTCTGAAAGCAGGACCAGTTTAAGCCCTGGCTCTGTTAGATCTTGGACAAATTACATAATCTCTCTGAGTCTCAGTTTCCTCGTCTGTAAAATGGGAATAATGACCATACTCATATTTTAGGGTTCTTGGGAGTCTGAAATGAGATGAAACCTGTACAGTGTTTAGCAAGATGCTTGGGACAGTGTGTGGTCTAACAAATGGAAATGACTGTTGCATTAAATTGACAGGGAAATAAAGATTGGGTCATTCTGTGGTCAACAGTGGTCTCCATGCCAGCAGCCATCCATTTGTTATTCCTGTGAAATTCTCAACTTGCTTGATTTTATATTTATGGCATATTTCAGCCTCTTGAGCTATTAATGCATTGTAATAGATTTCATTTTTATTGCAGATAAATTGCTGATACTGTAAATCCTATCTCTTTTCCCTTCCACTCTCAGGAGAAGAAGAAAGGGATAAGGCTGCCAAGAGAGACAGGGATTAGAGGCAAAAGTCTTGGGGATCAACCTGTCGAAGCTCAGAGAAATTTCCATATGTGCCCACACTTTATGCCTATTTCCCATAGAGACAGCTTGAGCTATGTTTGGTGGCAGTTGTTTGGGGATGCTGAATGGTATAGCCATAATGTTCTCATTCCAACCTTTGAAGTGAATCCTGCTCAGTCCATATTGAAATGTGATGAGAGCTGCAGATGCATCTGTAATTACTAGAAAGACCAGAAATGCTGTGTACTTTGTAATTATTTTTCACTGCAGACTTCATTGCTGGCTAGAGAGAAGCCTGTGGCTGGAAGACAAGGCCCTCACAGTTCACCTGGCTCCATGCTGGGAGAGCATCATAGACAGACAAAAGAAAAACACCAAATAATTTAAGTGGAAAGTTGGTTGCTAAACCCACAGCCTGGGTGCATATTGCATTTCTAGTGAAGTACCTTTTCCTCTGGTTAGATAATAGCTTTAAGTGGCAAGTGAGGCCAAGACCCAGTGGACAAAAAGCTTAACCATAGAAGGAAACTCAAGGAAGGCTCTCAGCACCACCCAGCAACTCAGGTAGCTTTCCAGAGCCACTTTTCTCGGTAAGGTGAAGGCCTGGCTTTTCTCCTGCAGGGCATGCAGCTATAAGGCTGGCCTGTGTTCCTGAGAAACTCCTTATCATAAGTTCTGAATATCAAAACTGTGTGTGGGGGGATATGGGGGGGACACCGGCATGAGAATGCTGGATGCTGGGTACAAAGGGAGCACCTAGCAGCGAATTTTCTCTTGAATATCCATAACTTCTTCCCTGTCTACTTCAGAAGGAGTTGTAACAATGGAGGCATCAATATGATGAGAAAGCAGCCCTTGGTCCCTGGAGTATAAGGAAATGAGAGGATGGTGGTAGAGAATTCCAGTATTCAGCTTCATGCGTATTATCTGGTTCCGGCGCATGGGGTGACGACACCCCTGTCCTGAAGTGGGGTGCTAGGCAGCACTTTGCACGCCCACCCTGTCAGGTGTTTGTAATTGCTCTTCCAGGACTCACCAGAGGACAGTTCTCAGCCTTTGGGCTCTTGGCCTGGGGGCATAATTGGCCTTTCATTGGTTTTAACCTTATTTGGAAGAGGAATGTCAGCAGGGATTGACATTCTGTGCCTGATCTCAGAAGAGGCCCAGGAGCTGGGAGGTGTGGGAGGAAAGAGAGGCTAAAGGTGAATCCCCTAAGTACTGCATAATGCAAGCCCGGGCTCCCCAGAGTAGACTGACTGAGACTCATTTTCTCTTCTCATTGGAAACAGGAGGCATCAGAAGATATGCTTACTCCATAAGCAAGTCCCTCTCTCTCCTCTTCCCTTTCCATTTGCCGCCCTCTCACCTGTACCCCTAGTTAGGTCTGTGTACGACCCTCTACCCTATAATTCAAGCCAAGCAGAAAGGTAAATCATCTTTCCAATGATGCATTTAAAACAAAACCTACTTTCTGGGATATTTTATTAGCAAGAATTTTCTATTCATGGTCACGCAGGCTGGTTGTCACAGAAGTCTCTAGTAAATCCACTGCCACCTCCTCCTTTCGAGACCCTGATTTTACCTCATTGACTGTTTCTCGAGCTTCATTGAGATCAGACTTTCCCAGAGAGCTTGCTGTAACTGCAGATTCCTGTCCTCCACCCCAGCCCTCTGATCCAGCAGGTTTGGGGGTGAAGGCCAGCAGCTAGTATTCATAGATACCCAGGAGAGTCATGCAAATGGTCCAGCATCACACTGTGAGAACACTGTTGAGGGCCTGCATCTTAAACACACACCCTCACGATGCCCTTGGCTGAAGAGAATTTAGCCATATAACATCCGCTGAGCCTTAACACCCCTCAGGCAGGGCTGGCCTCTGAAGGCCGCGTGCTGTGGGATCTGGCTAGCAAGTGGAGAGAACTGAGTTCCAGTCTTGTCACTACCACTTATTAGTTTCAGAATAATTGTGCAAGTGCCTCACTCTCTCGGTCACAATTGTCTAATCTGAATATTGTGCAAGTGCCTGAGCCTCAGTTGCCTCATCTGTAAAATGGGAGTATTTTTCTCTCTCTCACATGGTTGTGAGGAGTAAACGTGAAAACAAAAGGTATTTTTGTAACAACGAACACTCAGGAAGTGGTAGCTCTCTTCTGATTTCCTTTCCCTGATTTTCATCCCAACGGATTCCTGCCCTCACCCAGCTGTCATAGTTTTAAAAATCATCCAATAGTCAAATAAACTGACATCCAATCAGATGTGAGTAGTTTATGAATTATAAGGGTTTAATCTGGGTGCATTACTTTCCTATTATTGCTTAAATAAATTACCACAAATTTAGTGGTTTAAAACAACACAAATTTTATTCTTAGAGTTCTGGAGGCCAGAAGTCCTCCAGAACTATAAACCAAGGTGTCAGCAGAATTGTGTTCCCTCTGGAAGCTCTATGAGAGAATCCTTCCCTTGCCTTTTCTAGCTTTTAGAGGCCGCCCACATTCCTTGGCTTGTGACCACGTCACTCCAACCTTTGCTTCTGTTGTCCCATCTCCTACTCTGACTCTGCCTCTGCCTCTCCTGCCTCTCTCTTTCCGTTATAAGGATCCTTATGATTACATGGGCCCACCTGGACCATCTAGGCTACTCACCCTGTCCCAGATCCTTAACTTAATCACATCTGCAAAGTCCCTTTTGCCATAGAAGGTAACATATTCACAGGGTCCAGGAATTAGAATACGGGTGTCTTAAGGGGCCATTATCCTGCCTGCCACACTGGATTTTGCTGTTTTACCAGGAGAACCTGCAGATCTAATGCTTTAATCTCCTCCTCTAAAGAGATCATTGGGGCAGTTCAGATACTAAGAAGGGAGATATTTTAACCTGGGGAGAGTTTGTGGTTTTCCACAAATCAAATTTTGCCTTTCAAATCACAGCCGGTACAGAAGTGCTGGGCAGTAATGTTGGATGACCGTGATGAACGAGGATCTCAATGTCCTGTGAAATTGCAACAAGGTCTCTGAGTCATCAAAAGAAGATTTGATTAGGTTCCATCTTGTTGAGAGTATGCAATGTTCCAGGTACAGTTATGCATGGCATAACGATGCCTCGATCAACAAAGGACTACATAAAGCACGGTGGTCCCACAAGATTAATGCCATATAGCCTAGGTATGTAGTAGGCTACACCATTTGGTTTGTGTAAGTACACTCGGATATTTGTACAATGACAAAATCACCCAAGTACACATTTCTCCGAAGGTAACCCCATCTTAAGCGTCTTAGGTGAAGTATGACCATATTTGAAAATTGATAATCCATGTACTACATTTGGTTACTGTTTGATTCAGTTCAAAAACGTCTGCTGAGGACCTGCTGCATGGAAGCCTTCCTTCCCTAATAAGAACATTTGATTAGTTAAGACCCTCCATTTCCCCAGTCAGGGGTAGAGGCACACACAAATGCTAACAATGACTTTACTTTTGGGCAATCTAAATGGCTGTCTCAAGCCCATCACTGCTTTTCATTCCTCCCTCAGTCAATATATGATTTCTTCTTTGACAAGAATCTTTGAGCACCAGCTATGCATTAGACACTGGCCCATGACTTTGAGATATTAGCCATTTGCTGAAGGAAAGAAACTCAAACACACTGCGTTATAATGCAAAAGGATAAATGGCAGAGCAGAGGAATGTGCATGCCATGGGGGTCCTTCTCAGGAAGGAGTGTTATCCAGAGGAACTGGCTTTTAAGCTGCAAGGCTAGGAAATTTCCAGACACAGCAGGACAGAAAAAGCATTCTGGAAAGTGAGGGAACTCATGCAAAGGCACGAAGACTTGATAGAACACTCAGTATTTGAAGCCAGCTGAGTAGTTCCCTGTGGGTGGGGAGAAATAGGAGACCCAGTAGGTAAGAAGGTGAGTATCATGTTCAAAGGGCCTGGAAAAATTAGCTAAAGGAAACAAGAGGGACCAGGACCAGATTGCTTAGCAGGGGAGAGACTTGGTCAGATTCTACTTTTCAGGCAATTTAGCAATCTGTGTGGAAGATCACTTGGGATGGGGCAAAAAGGACCTATGGCAAAAAGACCTGTTAGCATTCAAGTGACAAATGATGAGGCCCTTACTAACCAGAGACAGAGGGGATGAAGCTAAGGGGCTGGATTTAGCAGGGAGAATTGTTGATGTGTGTTATGAAGGAGACAAGTGAGGCAATGGGGACCCTAGTGTCTTTATGGAATCATGGTTAACAGCATTGAACAAAGTAAGAAATAGAGGAAGAAAATTTTGTGGGGGAAAATAAGGAATGTGTTTTGGGTGTATGGTGAGTTTGAGGTGCCTTTGAGATATCAAGATGGAAATTTATCTATCTATCTATCTATCTATCTATCTATCTATCTATCTAGAGAGCATGATCATGAAAAAGGTAGAGGATGGTGGTGTCACAGAAATGAACTTAAAATCCACGAGAGCATTTGAAGCTATGAAAAGAGGCTAAGGATGAGAAGAGGAGACAGTCTGTCTAGGTAGACTCCCAGACAGTTCTTCTGTTGCTCTCTCCACTCTAGCACCTTTTAAATCTTGCATGGCAAACCTCTCCTCTCACTCATTGAAAATGTTCAGTTTGTAGCTTGCTCTTTATTTCCATTTCCTGGGCAACATGCTTGGATGGTAGACGAAAACTTTTTCTGAGAAAGACTTCGTATTCTTTTCCCTTAAAGCATTTGAGGCATTTTACAACTTAAACCAAGCAGATTTTTCCTGGGAGTTACGTTCAGAAAATGAATGCATGATTGGTGTAGTCAAAGACCTCCAAGAGGCTCTACGATTATTTTTAGAATGAAAGTGAAGATAACGTACAGGGAGGTATGGCAGAGAACAGGGTGAGCGAGGGAGGAGGGATGTGGCTTGGAGAGACCTCATGCCCTTGAGAAAGGAAAGGGAGCTGATTCCTTGGAGCACTGCTTCCCTTACCTCAATCATTCGTTCACCACCTTCACGGTTTCTGTGAAACTCCCCACACCGTCTACACAATTATTTACTTATTTCTTTATCTCTAAATCAATGCACTTTTAAAACTTAAAACATTTATACAAAACAGGCAATATCACTTTTGAAAATGGAAACCCGCAAAACTTACAGTAAATATATTATGGGACCAACTTTAAAAGTTAAAAAGGCTTCAATAAAAAATGAAAATGATTACGTTCTGGCTGGAATGTATTGTTGCTTCCCCATGGCTATGAACCTGAGACCTGCGCACTCTCGGCAAAAAAGTGTGATAGGCAAGTATTAAAAAGGTGTTGAAGACATTCTAGCACCAACCTCAGATTTTTCCCTATGGGTAATCAGATGGATTGAAATAAAGTTGAAAAGAGAACAACCTTCTCACTAAGTAATTCAGTGTTATTTAATCTTGGGTCCTACGGGGGGCATCCACCCAACCCTTTGAGTAACTTGTCCTAGGATTAATGTTAAGGAGAGACGATGAGAGTGACCGGGGACTGAACAGCCTGGAACCAGCTTGAGGCAGACAGCCAATTCCCACACCTTTCCCTTGGAGCCTACGGCAGTCAAAACTCAAAGGAGTCCATTCTCCCTGGTGTGCGGAAGCCCCTGGAAGTTCCTGAGAACCATGCATGGAATCTTTAGGCATCGGCATTAGTGCTGTTCTCCTTGGTGAGGTAGGATCTACTGAAGTGATCCATAGTAAGAAGAAAGCCAGTCAGGCTGGTGGGGGGGGGGGGGGGTGCGTGTGTGGTAGAAGGCTCCTTTTGGAGCAGAGGGAAGGAGTTGGATAAAACCAATGACCCTACATGTCTTGATGAAAGCAAGTAGCATAGCCATAGCCTTTGGCTGACGGGTCCACTTAGAAAACCTTACGTCTTGCTAACTTAGCAGTAACATCTCCAAGAGAAGAGGACCCGGCAGGCAGACTATCACAAGCCCCTGTGCTTTATGTACAGAGACGTGCACTGGGCACATCCATCATCGGGGAGAGAGGCTGCAGCTTACCAAGGCCTGAGGATGAGTATTTCACATCACTTATTCATTAGTTTGTAAGATCTGACTTTCCAGGACACAACACAGGGTTTGAAGTCATTTGAAATGCTGAAAAAAAAAAAATGACAACTCTCATCCTCCCACTGTTACTATGACAGGGATGTTGTTCTGATCTCTTCGCTTTCATCAAATTAATTGCCCGTTCCTTTGCAATGGCTTAGCTACAGGATATAAATACTGTCTGGGAGAACAGTCTGACTTTGAATGGTAATGAGGGATGGATGCATACAATGGCTGTTCTTCTTGGAGAACTGGAAAGCGTTGTGTGCCTGAAGGTTTAGTGACCCATCCAGGGGCATAACTTAATTTAGAACGTTTGCTTGGGATGTTTGAAGTGAGTACTAGAAGGGTGCAAACATTCTCAGACTTGTTGGACGGTTATAGGTTAGCCAAATATTGCCCCTTTTAATTTAGCTTAGAACATCAGAATGTCTGAACGGAAAGGGACCATCAGGACCATCTAATTAAAGGCCCTCATTTTTCAGATGAGGAAACTCAGAGGCCAAAAATGATTCGCCCAAGGCCAGGCCACAAAACTTGCAGTAGACTGGGAAATAACCACTTGTCCTGTTCAGTTACATAAGCTAAATAAAATGTCATCTTGAGGTAATAGAAAATGCATCATCTGGCTGCTGAAGAAAAGAGAGACTATCCAAAATTTCAATGGAGGTTAGTTAAAAACAATTCTTGTTTATGATAAATAGTTTTTTTGTCCTCCCTAGCTGTCTAGACATTTAATAATTTTTGTCTTCCTGGTGATTAGGAAATTTGCTTAAGATAGGAAAAGTAAAAGAAAAGAAGGAACAAAAAGGTAGCCAGTGAGGAGACTGCCTGCTCAGCCCTCCCAATACCACAAGCCTCTTCCAGGGCCCCCTTACTGAGGGGATATTTTACACTGAGGTAAAGGTTATTTTCTGTGAGCGTCCCAGAGCTTCTCTCATTTCGTGAGAATATGTGGTCCTGTGGCTCCTAGAATTAAGCTGTTGAGAGTCAATAAAAACCTGCCCAAGGCTCTAGCTAAGTGTAGGGTCCTCCTCACTCCCAGGCCCTGTCACTTGTTAGTATGAAATCTCAGGATTCTGCTGGAGAGAATGAGAGATTTGTAAAAGAAGACACAGGCAACCCAGTTGGGCTTCAGTTTGCTCAGGCCCTCACTGCCTTTCTCATCTGAGACAGGAAAGTAGTAGAGAAAGCAAAACCATACACTTCTGTCACACACTATTAGATGCCATCACACTGAAATGACTGCCTTTCACCAATTTTTCCCTGTGCCACTGAAAGCAGACTTCTAGCGAGGGATGCATTGATCTTTCTTGTAATAACAGTAATAAGCCCTTGGGTTTGTTGCGAGGTTTGCAGTTACAAAAGGCATTCACATGTTTTACCCTATTTGCTCCTGATGGCAACTCTGAATAGGGATAAATGTCTCCACTCTACAGATGAGGAAACTGAGCCCCAGACAAGTTAGCACACATCAGACTTGGGGATTTTGACTCCAAGTTTAGTGCTCTCTCCACTCTATGATGTTTTCCTTGTGTTACTTTCAAAAATCCACTTTATCGCAGCAACTTTCCCCCTGCCAGAAGGAAACGATGTACTTAGATATGAACACAAAGTGCTTAGCACAGTTCTTGACCCATAGGAAGAGCTTGGTATGTGAGAGCTACTGTTGAAGAGGCTTTTGGGATCAGAAAGGTCTGAACTTGAGGCCTGGGTCTGGCCCCTTCTGCTTTCTGAAAATGCTTTATCTGAGCTGGGCCAAAGGGCTTGACTTCCCTGAAGATATTAACACCTACCTTACAGGTATCATTGTGGAATGAGAGGCAAATCTGCAGGCAGAGCTTAGCACAGTGCCTGTGCTTCTTGTCCAGGAAGTGTAGGGTGATTATGTCAAAAGGATTTGCTCCTAGACCTTTTTGTCTAACAAAGCAGGGCCTGCCTTGGAGCCAGATGTTAACATTTGACAGTTAAACACCTTATTTTTTAAATCTCAGGTAATCAGAGGCCTACTGTCTTTGCCTCTCTCTGACTTTCTGCTTCTAAGAGTTTACACAAGTGTTCTGAGGGCCCCGAGCTCCGTGCACTACAGAGCAGGCCTCGGTGTGGCAGGTACCTGTATATGATGCACGCCGTGTTCTGGCAGGTACTGCAATTGTTGAGATCCTGGCCAGTTCGATAAAAGTTGCGCCTGCAAGATAGAGCATTTGCTGGATAAATCTATGGGCAAAAGCCCCATGGGACGCACGCATTCTACTGACTCGTTCCCTACAGTACAGCACTGCCCCTCTCGTTGGTAGCAATGCTCTGAGTTACGTGACCATTACAATACAGAAACCAGAAACCCATGATAATAAGACCTCACATTTCTAGAGGGCGTTCTAAATGTTTAAGCCCTTTTAAATCTGAAGTTTTTTCATGCTGACTACAATCCTGTGAGATGAGTCAGTTATTCTTACTCCCATGTGATAGATGGGGAAACCGAGGGACTTTGCAAATGAGTAGAAGAGAAGTTATTAAAACTCCTGATCCCTTAGTTCAGTGCTTTTCTCTCTTTATGGTCACAATGCTTCTCTCTTATAAGGCAATGTTGATTCTAATTCATATCAGCAAGCATCAGTTAATTACATCTTCCCTCTCCTCCCCTGTTGTTGATTATCTTTAACCAACATTTCTTCTTCTCAGTCTTCAGGGAGCAATTTTTCTGGGGATGAACATTCCATACCTAAACGATAACTGCCTTCCCCTCCCCAGACTGGTGCTGAGTCACCCAGGAATGCATTTTGTGACGTTTTTCTCCTTGCAAAATTGTGATCTCATTTCAGTCCCTACTTAGTTGGTCAGTTGGTCAACGATGGACTTTGGCCCAAGCCGTCAAAGTAGTCAGTGGAGGAGAAGGTCAACAGTAAGCTTAGTGGCCACCTCAAGTCCTTTGTAAAAGACAAACAAAAAACTAAAATACTGTGCAAATGCAGTAGCTTGCTACAGGGGGAGGGTGGGGGATGTACCTGCATGCTATCGTTTTCCCCCATCATTTATCAATTGGACCCCCATCTTAATAAAAGCTATTTTTGACCTTGCTGCTTCATTGCCCCCTTCTCCAGTCTGTTGCTACCTGGAAACAAAAACAAATAGCAATGGAAATCCGCCAAAGACTAGAATTGAGTGAACCCCAGTCAGAACAAAGGGAGGCCATTGGTTAGGATTCGGGGAAACAACAGAACAGCAAACATTTTGGAGACATTTTACTAAGGGAAAACAGTGCTCTCTCTGAGAGGCCCGGTCGCAGCAAATGACTTGACCCAGTAGTTTTTAATATGAAAAAATTCACCTTACCCTTCTGTGAGAGCACGGGCTTTCTCCAAGTCTTGAATTACATTCAAAAGGACTTTAATTTTCTCTTGGTTCGAGTGTAGAGATTCCTCCACGGATTGCAGCCTGCCTTGGAGGTCGCAGAGCTCACCCTGTGCCAGATGAATCTGACTAATTCCACCCGTCTCCCTGCTGCTCTGAAGTTTGGTCTCCCTGTTTGGAAGGGTGGGTGGGAGGTGGTCGCTTTCTGGACAATTTTGAAACTCCGGGGTGTCTGAATGGGTGGGGTTCTTCACCATCTGCTCCTGACAGACAGGGGCAGATTTTGATGCACTCTTAGGTTTGAGTGACAGCAGATCCTGGTGATTATCACTCGGTGAAGAACAGTCTGAAGCTCCTCCTGGATGGACTGACTGGCTGTGGGAGCCTGGCAAGGGGGAGCTGTGAGTCCGTGGAGGTGAAGGAACACATGTTTCCTTTGACTGAGATGACAGTGGAGCAAGGTCTTTGTCATCAGAGTTGTCTTTGGGCAAAAGTGATTCGGGCTTAAGTTTTCCTGTGCCTGGCATGTGATTGGCAATGCTGGTGGCATTTAAGCAGCAGGGGGATCTTTCTGAATCTGATGGCAGCACTCTTCTCCCATCACCTGAATACATGTCAACCGAAGGGTGTATGGAGTTGCTTATCTCGGTAGACCTCTCTGGACTGAAAGTGGATTCTCTACTTGCCCAAGTAGGACTGTGATAAATATCATCAGGGACCTGAATGGCAGCTGTTGCTTTCTCTGAGGGCTTCCAAGTCCCTTCTTCCAAGCATATGCTAACAGGCCCATTGCTTTGCACCTTGGACATTCTAGGGAGAAATGAGTGGGACACTTTGACCCTTCGAGGCCCATCCTCAAGATGTTGAGCCAGCCTTAAGTAGGCAAGCTCAGAAGACACAATGTCCTGTTCAGAGAGGTTGCCATTGACCTGGATGGCACTTTGGGATGCTGATGGCATTTCCACCAGGGACTTGCTGGCTGTGAGTCTCTTCCTTTTGAAAACTGGGAAATGCTTCCTGAGACTGGGGGATGTTTGGATCGCGATGTTCCGAAAGCCCCCTGCCTTCTGGGACCTGGGGAAGGAGAGTGAGTAGGTGGGGAGATGGTGGTGCCTGGGTGCTTGAGTCTTACCCATCACAGTCGGTTCTTCAGAAGTTTGGACATCAACCTCAGTTAGGCCAGGTGGAGTCTTACTGGTCCCATCTTCCTTGAATCGTACCTGCTGAGATTTGCTCCTACGGTGGTGAGGTTGCTTCACAAACTCCACTGACTCTAGACTGTTACGCTTTAGAAGCACAGG